CCCCCCCCCCCCCCCCCCCCTAGACCTACTTACAGAGACTACACAGCTTTCTCTGCTGTGGAATTAAAATACTAAATTATTCTGCATGGTCTTTGTAAATTTGGCCTGCTACCAAATGCAGATGACAGAAAGGGGGCGGAAAATGATGCAACACTTCAACTTGGATTTTGTTTAACGTCTAATTTATTCGGCAGCACGGTGGCGCAACTGGTAGAGCTGCTGCCTCTCAGCGAGCAGGTCCCTGGTTCAAACCCCGGTCCAGGGGCCTTTCTGGGTGGAGTTTGCATGTTCTCTCCGTGCATGCGTGGGTTTTCTCCGGGTACTCCGGTTTCCTCCCACAGTCCAAAAACATGCATGTTAGGCTGATTGGTAACTCTAAATTGTCCCTAGGTGTGAGTGAGAGAGTGAATGGTTGTTTGTCTCGTTTGTCTCTATGTGGCCCTGTGATGGACTTGCGACCCGTCCAGGGTGTACCCCGCCCCTCGCACAGTGACTGCTGGACATGGGCACCAGCGACCCCCGTGACCCAAAATGGATTAAGCGGGTAAAGAAAATGGATGGATGGATGGTCTAATTTATTCATTTTACTCTCTCTAACACAATGGCATCACTTGACCAGTGCAAATTTGTAAATTTTCACAAATCTAAACTCAACGGCGCGCGTGATGTCATAACGTTGTGCTGGCGCTGCAGGCATCCTCGTCACTGGGTTGTCATACAAAAACAGCACCACATATTATATATATACATATATATATAAATAAATATAAATAAGACGTCATTTTTTTATATTGGTGATTTTATATCTGTGATGGAATGGCCAATGCCTGATATTTAACTTTACTGCCAATATCACCAGATACCAAGCCGATAATATCGTGCATCCCTAATCTGAAAAACGTATCCACGCAGAAAGAAACAAATTAAACAGTTTATTTTTTTGCGCAGGCGAGGCAAACTGATCATTTTCTAACTGGGATAATCCCACTGAGGTCACAGATCTGTTACAACGGCAGCCTGGGCCTGAAGGCAGCCTGGCAGGCGTGTTTTTGGACTTTCAGGAAGAATCAAGAGATGGGACAAGTTTTAGAAACAGACTAAAGCAAATTTCAGACTTTTAAACTGCAGCAAAAACCTGATTTTTAAGCTAATTTGCAGAACGACTTAACGCGTTTCGAATCCTGAATACCTTTGCAACGATTTGAACTCGTGAAGAGTCTCTGAAAGGACATTTCTGTGCATGAAAACGTGACTTAAAACAACGAGAAACGTCTGTTGTCGCTTGGAGAGACAGTGTATGACCGATCAACAGTAGTTAACAGAAAACGGTGCATGAGAGCAGCCGGTGGGGGGAGGGGGGCTGAATCCTAAACATGTCATTGCCAATGGGAACGCGGATTAAAAAAAGTTTTTTGTTTTGCAACCCTTCCTGTTTTGATTCGAATTTGCGACAGCTTTAAATGAATCATCGATCACATCTTTGTTAGGAAGTTCTAACGCTAAAGCCTCTACTTAAATGACATAACGCAGGAACAACAACCCAGAGTGCGTCCGCTGCGAGCTGTCGAGCCGCAACACCATGACTTGAGCTATCATAACTTTTATACAAAACACATTTACCGTTCGACAACCTTTGTTCAAACAGCAGATGGAAAAAAAAAAAAACATTAAAGCAACAATAATAATATTAAAGGCTAACTGGCTCCCTGGTTACGAGAAACAAAACAATCAAAACTGAGCTGACCAGGATGCCAAAAGGGAGCAACATCTAACTAATTTTTTTTAAATTTTTTTAAAATCAAATTACTTAAAATTTCACATTTTAGAAGCTGGAGTAACATCGTCCTCCACTGCAACATGTAGCTGTGTTACGATATGCCAAACATAATCTCAAATCCCATGAGTGGACATTATTAAAACTGGTTTTAAAAAGAGAGAGAGTAAAACCGGATCCGATCACATTATACATATTTGCCTTTCTGTTATCAATTCATTACACTTAAAAAAAAAGAAAAGAAAAAGGAAGCAGTTACAAGAGAAGAGTTAGCTCATTCCCAAGTCTTTGTCCTTCTGTACTGTACAATACTACCTGCCTGCATTGTGCACGTGGCAAACAACACTGATAGGCTGAGAGAAAGCGTGAAGACACACAGAGACGAAGAGAGAGAGCCCGTCGGGGCTCCGTATTCACAGCTGCTGAGGTGAGGGTAAAATGTGACGGACTATCAGTTAAATATTCATAACAGTCTCTTTTATACTTTGACCAAAAAAAAAAAAAAAACACTCCTCCCAGAAGGAGAAAGACATCCAAGTTCCAAAAATGAGCAGCATCCTCTCTGTCTCCCATCCATCCATCCATCCATCCATCCTGGTTGTTGTCGAAGCTTGTTCTGAAGGTCGTGATGATGATGATGATGATGATGACGAAGAGAGCAGAAGATTTTAAACAATCCGACCGTAACGTAAAAAAATAAAAACCGAATAGAAAAACACGTAGACGACGAAGAAGAAGAAGCAGAGCTCGGGGAAAAAAAAAACTCACACTTCCACCAGGCACCGTAGCTGATAGAGAGAAACAGTCACAGAACCAGCTGATACTGAGCTTCTATCCCACAATGCCGCAGAGGTCTGAAACCTTAAACATTCCCACATCGCTGAGAGACAGGTACAGAACAAACAAACAACACAAAGAGCCAGAGGTGCTGCGGTGCGGGACGCTCCCACGACTCCAAAGATACTGCTGCTGCAACAGCGTGACGAGAAAAACAAGAATAAAACAACGAGGTCGGCCCTGATTCAACGTGACGACAACTTGGCAAATCTACAATGACGTCGCAGTTTTCTTGGGTCAGGAAGCAGGAAGTAGGTCACCGAGACATGAGCAGCAAGACAACACTGCCTTTAATAGGCTGAGGCAGACAGACAGGTTGTCAGACAGATCAGACAGGCAGGTTTAAATACACTGCTGCTCCTTCTGACTTTCTGTAAGTACCGGGCGGTAAAACAACCGGCCCCCCAACCACCCCCCCCCCCCCCCCCCCCCAGCAAAGAAGTGGTTAGGCTGCGGAACTCCACTGACAGCCACCTCTCTGTGACTTTACTCCGTGGCCATCCAAACATCCGTCCGTCCAAAAAGGTGAGACAGAGACAGCAATGGGTCTGGTGCGCCGACCTCCGAGGAGGAAGCGTTGAAGTGAGCGGGAGCAGGAGAGCTGACGGGCTGAGGGTGGGGGGGGTCACTCAGTGAGGAGCTGCTGGAGGAGGCTCTTCTGCTGGGCCTGCGTGTTATGGGAGCCCTGCGGTCCGGGGCCCTTCTGTGGGGCCGTGGCTCCGATGGAGCCCTGGTTCAGGTAGGAGTCGCTGCCAACGAGGTTCACCGTGCACTGGACGTCTGCGAACACCTGAACCTGCTGCACCTGCAGAGCCACGAGCACAAACGACGATCAACAAACACATGGAGCAGATGGGACGGCAACAAGAAACCACAAAAACACTCCAGATGTGGCCTCGCTAACCTGCTGGTCGCTGCACACGGAGCTGGCGTTGCTGAGGTTACTGGTGCTCAGGCCGACCGCCTGTCCCATGGGAGGTAATGAGCCGACGCCGTCCGAGCCTCCACCCATGGAGACGGTGATGCTCATGTTGTTGTACACCCCCTGCTGGGGGAACGGCAGAGCTGCTCCCTGCCCCGACTGACTGAACAGGCTGCGGCAGAGAAACAGATCAGACCCACGAACCAGCGGTGTAGTCTACGCCACACGGAGTATACCCACTAGAAAAGCTTAAGAATTCCAGTATACCCACTTAAAAGTGCCCAATGATACATGACACATCATTAGGCTTGAGTCATTGATACGTTCAACGCTTACGGAACAATCTATCTGTATGCAGCGCTTGTTCATTACATTCATTTATCCAGTGAATTATTGTAGAATTCTGTACTTGGTACTTAATGCTTGAACACGTTTTGCTTTGATACTGTTTTATAAATTCTATAACATGTTTTTAATAGAAAGCCAACTGTTGTATAAAGTTTGTTGTGCATTTATTCAAATATAAACATCAGAGAAATTTGGAAATGTTCAATACGCTTAAAAATCAAAATGACTTGACGATTACGTCGTACTAACCAGTGTACTTTGGTTTCTATACACAGTATACCCACTACAAAATGTAGAGTACACCACTGCCACAAACCTATAAAAACTCATTAGTTGTGAGTTTCAAAGAGAGAAACTGTGACAATCGTATTTGACAGAGTCCATTTGTTTCACTATCCAAACAGAGTCTGGTTTATTTAGTCACTCGTGGGACGTTTTCCTTTATCGTTCTCCTTAAAACAACATATTTCAACCACAACTGCTTCAAACGTCAACTGCACAAATTAGTTTCATTACACCAAATTTAAATGAAATCGTTAATGAGCCCATTTCTTTACCGTTCATCAAACTTGTTTTTATCCTACAACCAAAGTTTGTAGCTTATACCTAAAGGAGGGATTAAAAGGCTTCGCTTGTTAATTCAGCCTTTGATTCGTTTTACTTTAAACAACTCGCGCCAGTTTCAGAGAGCTGTACATGCAGTACATGAGATTATTTTTCCTGTACTTCCAGCCTTGTTTTTATGCGAGTTTTTTTAACGCTTTTGTTTTGTCACTTCAATGTTTCAGGTTTAGTTGAAACTGGATATTTTTAAAAAGTCTTTTTAAACTTTTTGTAAGAAAGCAAAAATACAGTCAGCAAATGAAGCCCAGAAAAAAAACTGGACTCTTAAATAAAAATTATTTAAAGAGTCCATCGATTATTGCCGGGCTCTTACCTGCCCATGCCTGTTTGTTGCCAGCTCTTCATGTCTGGTGACTGGTAGCCAGGAGGCGGGGCCTGCTGAAGCAAAGGACTCTGGGGAGTGGAGTTTTGAGGTGATAACAATGGGCTGGTGGGGCTCATCTCAGGAGGAAACGGAGGGTCCTGTTGGACCACAGCTACAAGAAAATAAATAAATACATTAAAAGTTTAACCAAAGTAATGACTTTGAAGCCTTTTTCTTTATTAGATTTATTTTATACACTACGATTTTAGACGTTTGTCTTTACTTCTAATGACCTAAGTCCAAAAAACAATTTTTTTATTGTTATTTTTATACCCTGTAAAATAATAGGATGGATGAAAGTGTCAAAATCATTATAAAAAAAAAATAAGGACAATGTTTAAGTTGCTGTTAGTCAAAGTTTACCAAAGTTTTCGGACTATAAGCTGCTAATTTTTCCACACGCTTTGAACAATATAATATATATATATATTTTTTGGACGGGCTAACGAGCTCCCTGCTGCCAAAACATTTAGTCTCGTCACACCCGGGTGCCCAATACACATCGCTCTTGGTTTTTTTTTTTTTTTTTAAATGAACAAAATTTACAAACAATCCAAGGCAATAAAAAGTAACAAAGCATCAAATGACTTTCACAGGTTGAGCTATATACATTCAAAAATATATACAACACAAAAAAACAACACACACAAAAAAACAATAATAATTGCATGAACAAGGAACAAATGTAGAGGTTTATATCAAATTAAAGTTATTAATCAAAGTATAAAGCTAAATTAAGTATAAATTAACCAACTTAAGAGACTCACAAAAAGATTTCAGGTAATTTTCCCAATGACATAAATTAGGATTCACCTTAAAAAAATATGCATTTATGAACAAAACCCCTTCCTAGTAATATTAGGTGATTAATTAAAAATTATATTTTAGAATTTTGAAAATAAACAGCAAATGTTATTATTGTTAAGGTCAGATCCGGCAGTTCAATTCCCTGGGCCTGAAGCCACATCCTGCTCCAAAAGTCTGGAGAGACACTAGAGTTGGAAAAAAGATGATTTATTCATTATTACAAAATGTACACGCAGCAGTATCAAGCTTAAATCTAGATCTGATAAAGGCATTCGTTGGGTAGATGTGATTTAGAACTTTAAAATTAACTTCCTTAACTTTTGGAGGAAGTGGAAAAGAAATTTGTTTTGTTTTAATTTTAGAAATTTCTTGGAGGGGTGGGTTCTCATGACTAAATGAGACTACATGTATAAATAAAGCTAAACAAAAAAAATATATATCAATGACTTCCTGGTAGGCGACTGTATTTTTGTTGTTGTTGTTGTTTTTAACCAGCCAGGTTACTGGCACTGTTCAGAAAAAAAACATTTACTGTACTTATTGTGTGTGTTACCGGTACATATTTAGGTAAAAGTTTAAAAAAAATCTGTGTAAATATCTCATGTTGCAACGTGGACACCCGCAGACAAGCACAGCCTATACATGTGTAAGTTTTTATTTTATTTTATTTAGTGGGCACGGATTATATTCGGGTGCGCCCAACAGTCCAGAAAACACGGTGCAAAGAACAGAACTTGTATTTTTACGTCACCGAGTTTCGTCTTTAAAGTTTGTCGTTTTAAACTCACCAGACTCTCCGAACTGCTGAAAGAGGCCCTGCTGTAACGAGGAGTTTACGTTGCTGTCGAACTGCAGGCCGCCCATCAGCGTCTGGTTGTTCAGAGGAATTCTGACGGACAGCTTGCTGTCCGGAGGGCCCCCCGACATGGGGCTGAAGTGGCTCGGTGAGGTAGGGGTGTTTCCCGTCAACGGGTTGTACCCAGACGGGAAGGTGAACTGCTGTTGAGACTTGGTGGGTGGGACCTTCGGGACCCTGGCAGTTCCAATGGGTCCCACGGCCCCGGTCGGCGCGCCTGCCATGTTCTGTCTCATGAGCATGACCTTCTGCTGGAAAAGCTGGCGCTGACGGTGCTGGATGCTGTAAAGTTCCCTTTGCCGCTGGGCCAGCATCTGGGCGTTGAGAGGAGGCTGCTGCAGACAGATGTTGGACAAATATTCAAACACGGCGCCAAATGTACAGTAAAAATGAAACGAGGTGCGACCTGAACGATATCTGGATATCAAGTTTAACGTCCTTCTTTGTTGCAAGTTTATTTTATGACATTTTATGACACAAAAATAAAATATAACAAGAGTACTGTATATGGCACATTATAACCCCGTCAACAAACGATTACACAACAAAACGATAATCTACATCGATGTCCTGGACAAGCTAAGACCTGTTTTAACTTTGATCTTTATTTGTGACCTTGACGTTGTGTATATGTGTATCAAGTTTCGTTCAATTATCTTGAGCGGATCGGAAGAGATTATCCCATAATACGTCTACCTTTCGACGGGCGTATAACAAGGACTTGTTTGAATTTCAACTACTTTTAATTTCAACTTAAACCTGCAAACAGCTGATAAATATTCTCGTCAGGAAATGATGCTCGTTAAATTAAAGATCTAAACTGCGAGACAAAGAGCTCATAATATGACCCAACAAAGTCCATGCCCAAACAATACGATAACACGGTTCATTATATTTTTTCTTACTATAAAAATGCGGTTGTTTACAACGTGACTGTCATCGAAGTCGTAAAATGTTTGCAAAGTAATAAGAGCGGTGGGTGCCGCTCCGACTCACTTGTGAGGTCATCTGCGCTTGCTGAACCTCCGGACGGATCCCATTGTTGACTTGTTGGGCTCCTCCTGGAAATAGATTCATGGCCGCCAGCCGGTTCTGGAGCTGACAGAGAGTGACAAACAAACAAACAAGCAAACAGGAAGTGATACCATCAATTATAACACATAAAATCTTATTACTGGAGAGCCTCACGGGAAATAAGATGTGCTAAATGTTAGAGATGACGGAAGTTGAGAGAAATTAATGATCATTCTGTCTAACGCAGAGAACAACAACCTCAGTACTCTGTGAAAAGTGAGTGCGCTTCTGTTTTTCACTTGTTGTGAAAAAGAAACCGGTGCTTTGTTAACAGCACTATAATGTGGGAATAAATCACACCCACGATGTTTCAAAGCGTTCTGTACCGTAGTGAGTGCAGACATTAAAGGCGCTGGGTCAACGGTAGAAACGAGTTGTAATTGTGTGTTAAACCGAGTAAAACAGATGCTCAAACAACGGGAAGTTCCTGTGAAAGTACAGCGTGAACGACTGAAACTTGCTTCAGAAGCTTCAAGTTAAAACAAGAACGACTAAAGTGTGAACAATCAGAAGACGAGGTAAAACAAGCAGAACGGTAGCTGAACGATACAGCTAACAAAACACTGGCAAAAGGTTAAAGTTAGCGAATCAGCAGCTTAAAACTAAAATATATATAAAAAATATAAACCAGCATAAGAAAAATACAGAGCAGTACGCTTAAGTTGATGCCAGATAAGTTTTTGAAGAAACTGAAGATCTCCATTTAGAGGGGGAGGGAACGTCAATAAAAGTTACATTTTCTAAAACTATACAAGTTACAAAAGTTATAACCCACTTTTCAAGGTTATTGTCATTTGCATCACATGAGGTGGAATGAAACCGTGCACTCAAGGTCCCAGTTACACCCCAAAATAGCAAAAATATAAGATATAACTAAAAAATTAAACGGTGTATAAGGCTCTAAGATAAACACTAATAATAATAATATAAGTAAGGTGTAGTTTGTTGTTGTATTTTGTGAACTGTACAGCACTTTGGTCCTGTGGGTGTTTGAAGTGCTCTATAAAACAGCTGCTCTGGTAATAAACAGCAACCTGAACACAAGTCCACTGTGAGCAGATGGGCATGAATGAGGAGGCTTATGGGCAAGAAATCAGCAGCATCAAGTGTCAAATGTTCAATTATTAAAGTGTCATTCCTGACTGAGATGAACATTTTAATACTTCACTTGTTAAAAAAAAAGAAGTACTCAGAAGAAGTTGGACAGGAAAATAAAGCGTACAGAAGAAACTACCTGCTGCGGGCCCTGCAGTCTCTGCTGCAGCTGCAGGCGCAGCTGGTTGGGTGGCACCCTGACCTGGGTGCCCACTCCCTGCGGTCTGGTCATACCCAGGCGCAACCCGACAGCCCCTGCACCGACCGGGAACGCCCCACGGGGGGCTCCTAACCCCAGACCCTGTTGCCCCACTGTGGCCAGCTCTGGAGGAAATGTAGCTTGTGAGGCTGGCGTGAACTGGGGGGTAAAGGTGGAGGGTTTGGGGTCCATGGGAACCGGTGTGGCAGTAGGCTGCTGGGGTAGGAAACTTTGAGGGAATGGGTCGAAGCAGCCACCCTGCGAAGAGGAAGGAGAAGGAAAAGGGAGTCGGATAACGGAAAATCAAAAGCAACTATTTATTTGATTGAGAGATAAAACACGGTGTCTGAAAGCATTTTAGCTAATTTCTTTAAACTGTATCTAAAAGTACACATGGCAGCTTTTGTTCAGCCTTGTCCTGAATACTGCAAAGAGAAAACAATTCAACCTAAAACGGGATGTTGCAAAACATTAATTAATGCAATTAATAATTATTAATGCAAAACATCTTTCTTTGTTTTGATTTATTCTTGTAGCCCAACACCAACTTATGACTCCAAGTATGTGGAACTTGTCCAAACTGCACTGAAAGGGAAACTAAAAATCTTAAACGTGCAGCAAAACAACATTTATTATGACAGCACTTTGATAACACACCTCATTCTCAGCATTTATTAACTATTAAAATAAAAACTGAACGGGTTGAAAACGGCTCATAATATCATGTAAGCAACATTTAATTTACAACAAAATTATTTCAGCTCCTCAGGCTGATGGTTTTTAGAGTCACTTTTTAAAATAAAGCTCATTTTTAAGCTTTATGAGCCAAATTGACTTCAGTCTTGTGATCAGCCTGACAGATGGCTCAGGAACGTTTTACCCAGCAGACAGACGTGATCCAGGACAGACTAAAGCAGAAAAATATAGATTTCAGCAGTTTGAATTAAAATGTTTAAATGTTTTGTTCAGTTTTCACTATTTGGTTAAACTGGGTTGAATCGAGCTAAACTTTCTTCTGCAACAATCCATAAAGTGCCTTAGGAAACAAAAGGTGCACCGGAGCACCTCAGGGCACGATGCTGGTCCCTCTTCTCTTCCCCCTGGGCATGTCAGACTTCTGCTACAACTCTGAGCTGTGTCACGTTCAGACATCCATAGATGACACAACCATCGTTGGGGACCATCAGGGACGATGGAGAGGGGAGTATAGGGGCCTGACTTTGCTGTCTAATGCCACACTAACCATCTACAACTCAACACCTCAAAAACAAAAAGAGCTGGTTATTGACTTTGGGAAGTCCAGACCAAGGACAAGACCAGTTTTGATCAGTGGAGCCGAGATGGAGGCTTTAGACTCCTACAAGTAACTTGGACTGTGGCTTGACAGCAAACTGGACTGAACGACACACAGCGACCATCAGTACAGGAAGGGTCAGGACAGGCTGTACTGCCCGAGGAGGCTACTTTAACATCTGCAGGATACTCCTGTGGATGCTCTACCAGTCTGTGGTTGCCAGTGTTCTTTTCTACACTGTGGTATGCTGGGGGGCAGCATCAGGCTCTGTGGTCAGCATGAGGATGGACTCTGGTGACTATGGACAAACTGCTGGACATTATGGACGATGCCAGTCACCCTCTCTGCACACCGTCATCAGCAACTAGAGGAGCCTGTTCAGTAAAAAAAAAAAACTTATTTCCAAATGCAGGACTGAAAAACTCCCGTGTTCCACATGCCATCAGACTGTACAACTCCCCACTGGGGGGGAAACAGGACAGATGGGAGGATGGGAAGGAGCAGCAGCCACGACCACCTTAAAATAGCCAGTTACTGGTTAAATAGTATTATTTACTGCTAAATATGTAAATATGTGTGTATATTATTTTATTATTTATTTTACTGTGTATTATTTATATTTGCCAACTGTTCTTCTTTATCACCACCTGTACGATGCAGTTGGAATTCTAATTTCCCTGAACAAATCTTTCCATGGGTTTAGTCTAATCAAATCTAACAAAAGCTTCATCCTTTCTTGACTCAAGTCTTGCTCTTTATGAGACCAAAACTCCCACGCTCAGGTTTTCAACCACTCACCTGTACCAGTTTGTCGATGCCCAGGGCCTTGTCCAGTTTGATCAGTTCGCTCTCGTCGGTCCCGCTGAGGAAGGAGACGAGCTGCTCTATCAGAGCCTTCTCATCGTTTCGGCCTTCAGGTGTGGTCGGGGGGACGAGCTCTTCATCCAGTGTACAGGGCACACACTGCCTGCTCAGAGAAAGAAAGAAAAACAAAACTCTCCAAATATTTTAGACCAGAAACACCAGAGTGCTAACAGTTAACTGATCGGTCATGCTCACTCTTGTGGTGATGCTAAGGAGGTCTGTAAAGGAGGTCCAAGTCCATCGAAGGACAAGGTGTCCGACAGAGTCAAAGGCTCGAACTGGGAGTCTCCCACATCCATCTTGGTTAGCCCTGAAAAACAGTTTCATACGTTTCATCTAACTGGAAGAGCTCGATGAGAGATTATTACACAACAATCCTAATATCTGCTTGAATATAACACAGACAATAAAATACCAGCTATGTAAGGGTTCAAGCTTTCACCCGCCTGTGGTCAAACAGAAAATGTACTACTTTAGAATAATCAGTGCCATCTGTTGATGTTTAAATCATACAACTCTGTTTATTTAATTTGTTTATAATAAGCTCTGAAATAAATGTCCTAATCTGTTACCAGTGCTTGAACCAAAAAGGTTGGTAACTTCAGCCTCAGGAAAAGGGCTGCTGTCTTTGGAGGTCTGGAAAGAGTCTCCCTGGCCCTGCGGTTGGCTTGGAGTGGCAGGATTGCAGAACTCGAACGATGACTGCGTCTGAAGGCTGCAGCCGGAGGGCGGGCCGTTTTCACCCAGCCCTGCAACGAAGAGGTGAAGCACAACAGCAACAACAAAAACTACATTAAACACAGAAAAAAAATGTATTTTTGAATAAATTATGTTTTCAAATAAGAAAGAAAACACCTAATTGTTTTTGTTTGGTGGTACTTTAAACAAAATCGCATTATTTTAAATGTAGATACAACAAAGTATGACTATTTAGCACTTTTTTTAAAACTGAGGTTTAAATATATATATATATATATATATTTATATATATAAAGTTTCTAACAAAGTAGCTGACACCGTCTCCGCAATGTTCCCTCCTCCTTTAGGACTCTTTAGGACCCCTCCATTTTTACAAGTAGTGAATGGATGAAACTCATGTTTGCAAAAAAAAAAGAAGCTTAAAAATAATAATATAAAAAAAAAAAGAGTAAAGCATTACTGCAAAGCTTTTGAATGTAAATAAAGTATGGCATGTCAATCAAGCAGTGACAGTCAACATTCAAGTGTTATATAGAAAATCCTTCATCAATATGGATGGAAGTTAATTAAAGTCTGCTATTTGAAGGAGAACAAAGTGAAGAGACATTCTCTCCTCTTACTGGAGCTCCCATAACTTGATCATGTGATCGGTACCAAAAAAACGACTTGCATAGCGTCATCTTTAAATCACAAGATTTAAAGATGACGCTATGCAAGTCGTCTTTAATGAAGGAAGAGCTGTTAACCTTTGGCGTTTACAAGTACTGGTCATAAAATTAGAATATCATGAAAAAGTTGATTTATTTCAGTAATTCCATTCAAAAAGTGAAACTTGTATATTATATTCATTCATTACACACAGACTGATATACTGTATGTCAAATGTTTATTTTTTTAACCTCCTAAGACCTGGACTCTTGCATATGTGGATGCCAGGTCCTAGGAGGTTAATGTTGATGATTATAACTGACAACTAATGAAAACCCCAAATTCAGTATCTCAGAAAATTAGAATATTACTCAATACCAATTTAAAAAAATGATTTTTAAAAATGCTGACTAACTGAAAAGTATGAACATGAAAAGTATGAGCATGTTCAGCATCAATACTCAGTTGTTGCTCCTTTTGCCTGGATTACTGCAGCAATGCATCGTGGCATGGAGTCAATCAGTCTGTGGAACTGCTCAGGTGTTCTGAGAGCCCAGGTTGCTCTGATCGTGGCCTTCAGCTCTTCTGAATTGTTGGGTCTGGTGTGTCACATCTTCCTCTTCACAATACTCCATAGATTTTCCATAGGGTTAAGGTCAGGCGAGTTTGCTGGTGGATTAAGAACATGATCCTTAAACCAGGTACTGGTAGCTTTGACACTGTGTGCAGGTGCCAAGTCCTGTTGGAAAATGAAATCTGAATCTCCATAAAGTTGGTCAGCCACAGTTCCTCCAGACTCTGGGACCTTGATTTCCAAAGGAAACGCAAAATTTACTTTCATCAGAGAACATAACTTTGGACCACTCAGCAGCAGTCCCAGGCGAGACACTTCTGATGCCGTCTCTTTTTCAAGAGTGGCTCGACACAAGGAATGTGACAGCTGAAATCCATGTCTTGCATACGTCTGAGCATGATGGTTCTTGAAGCACTGACTCCAGCTGCAGTCCACTCTTTGTGAATCTCCCCCATATTTTGGAATGGGTTTTGTTTCACCATCCTCTCCAGGGTGCAGTTATCCCTATTGCTTGTACACTTTTCTACCACATTGTTTCCTTTCCTTCGCCTCTCTATTAACGTGCTTGGACACAGAGCTCTGTGAACAGCCAGCCTCTTTAGCAATGACCTTTTGTGTCTTGCCCTCCTTGTGCAAGGTGTCAATGGTCATCTTTTGGACAACTGTCAAGTCAGCAGTCTTCCCCATGGTTGTGCAGCCTACAGACCTAGACTGAGACCATTTAAAGGCCTTTGCAGGTGTTTTGAGTTAATTAGCTGATTAGAGTGTGGAACCAGGTGTCTTCAATATTGAATATTTTCAAAATATTCCAATTTTCTGAGATATTGAATTTGGGGTTATATAATCATTAACATTAAAAGAAATAAACATTTGAAATATATCAGTCTGTGTGTGATGAATGAATATAATATACAAGTTTCCCTTTTTGAATGGAATTACTGAAATAAATCAACTTTTTCATGATGTTCTAATTTTATGACCAGCACTTGTAATTATTGGACATGGATGCATGCGCAGTCCTAAAAAACTTAAAACAGCAAAGCCTTCAAAAATGACAATATGTATTGTTTGAATGCTGATTTGTGAACAGAGAGGAGCTGACAACAAATTGTATTATTTTTCAAAAGCTTACAATGCAAAGAGTGTGTGCAAAATGTACAGGGAACATTTCAATATCTTAACACTTAACTTATCTTAACTCAAAGCAAATTGTGTTCCATTGTGAGTCTTATTTCTTTCCTCACAACAAAACAAAATGGTACCATCATCACCATCAACGTAACCATCAGACTGCCACCAGGCGACAGCAGGATGCTAACATGCACTGTAGATGAGCACAGAACACTTCAGTCTGCAGGTCTTTTAGTTTTGGTTTATCATCATTTTAGCCTCACACCTGCTGAACTGTTTGGCATGAACGTGTGTTTTGTCTTTGCAAAAGACAACACGGCAGCTCAAAAGCCCACCAGCAGCGTTACACCCCCTGAGCAAATGGTTTTGTGTGTTTTACGAGAAATACTAAATCCCCTTGTTGATGAGATGACAAAGTACCTCTGTTAGGGGTCCCAGGAGGCTCCCTCTTCACATTTACACTGCAAGGAGTGCAGGCCTCGCCTGGCTGGAGGTGATTCGGTGACTGTAGTTTGAGGGGGGAGGTGGGGTGGAACTGAGGCGACGGGGACTGGAGTTGGGGAACAGACTGAGGCTGGGACAGTGGGGACTGCAGCTGAGACACGGGGGACTGGAGCTGAGCTGGAGGCTGGGAGGTTGGAGACTGAAGTCCTCCTCCGGGGTTTACTGAATCCTTGCTGCCCTGACTGGCCCCGAGCGACCCTCTGAGGCCCGGCAGAAGCTGGTTGAGAGGGTCCTTATCAACAGGTCCAACTGATATCTAAGGGCAGGAAGGAGAGAGTGGTGCAATACTGTAAAAACATGTGAACACTTAAAGAATGTGGTAAAGAGAGAGAAAGGGGAGCAGCAAACGAGAGAAGGGGAGAGAAAAGATCAAAAGCCAATGAGTTTAAAGGCTCGAGTCGGTAACTAAACCTACAGTGGACCCAAAGTCCAAGAAAATAAACGTTTAACTTTGTTTACAGCTGCTGTCTGGTCACTCAATGCTGCATCACAGCTGAACACAAAAACATTCCCATCTATGTGTAAAGTTTTCTTTCTCTCACTGCACAGAGGAATAAGTCATATTTATCTTCAGACCGTAGTGACTAACTGGACCCAGTTAAAACAGAGATCAGCTCAGTTTGATCCAGTTGATGTTTATGTGTTTGGTTAAAGTGTGCCTGGTAAGGATGCACACTACCAGGTTTCAGTTTAGCCAAAAGCAGGGTGAGGCTGGGACAATGTGAGTGGAGATGGGCAAAGAAATGATGCAGCTAAAGAAAAATTAAGGTGCAACAACTAGGCCTGTCACGATAAAAAAAATTAGCTGGGCGATTAATTGTCTCAGAAATTATTGCGATAAACGATAATATTGTTTGAAATTTGATAATAATTAATAATTAGCGAATAATTAGGGAGCGAGCAGCGTATCTTTAAGAAAAATAGGAGGGCGGTCTCTTGACGTGACATGGGTTGTCTCTCTTTGGTTCTCAAAATGGTGGACCCCCGGTGTGGTTTGAGCTCTTTAGCATAGCATTTTTCACACAAAGCTTTTAATTAAAAAAATCAGTAAACAAGTTCTCAGCTTCTTTTTGCAGAGAAAAACAACTTTTTACACGAAGGCACGGGTTTCAACCGTGAATTTTTGAGCTTCAACAAGACGGAGGTTTTTTCCTGAGGTCGGCCTGTTAGCTTAGCTCGTAGCTTAGCTGCTTTTAACGATCCCAAAACGTGATTTTGGATCGTTAAAACAGATTTTAAAGAGAAAAGAGAAAGGGAGGGGTCAGTGGAGAACACCGGAGTTGAGCCTTTTGTCATCCGGTGTCTTCAGTAGAAAGAGAGAGACACGAAGAAATGATAAAGCCGATAAATTAAAATGAGGTCGATAATTTTCATTTATCATGCGATTAATTGATTTATTGTTTATCGTGACAGGCCTAGTGACAAACACATAAGATTTAGAAAAATGTCTGTCTGCTGCGACTGTACCGTGGAGTCTCTGCTGTCTCGGCGGTTCTCTCCGATGTGTTGATCGGGACTCGATTTGGGGCTGATGCAAGCCGGGCTGCAGGAGACGCCTGCTGGTTTGCCCGCTCCTCCAGCTGCAACGGTTGAACCGGAACAGGCCAGTCCATCGCCACTGGTTCTCTTCTCCACCTTCACTCGAACCGTCTGAAGGCTCAGAGCCGATGGAGGCGGAAGATCCCCCAAATCCTTTAAAAACAAACTTTATTTAAAGACGCTGTCCTAAAGTACATTTTAATGCTTTAACAGCAGCAGCCACCTTTTCGTCCGTGTCTAGAAGAAACCGGAGCAGCTGGTGGTCCTGCGGTTCTCTGGAGCCGGGCTTGTGAGGCGCTGTGCTCAGAGCCGGACTGGCAGGCGGCTCCTTCTTGATCTCAACGTCGTTTTTGTTTAATCCTTCCTCAGCGGCGGTGGAGGCGTCGTTTGGACTGCTGTCCAACAGCAGCTTGTGCAGGATCTTGTGTCGTTCCGTCAGGCTGCTGTGAGAGGCGGGGCACTGAGGAACAGGGGAGGGGTTCAGAGGATGAGGTGATGAGGTGCAGTGGATGCTGTTGAGTGATTCAACTCCTGTCCCACTGCTGTCCAGGAGCTGGTTATGTCTGGTGTTACCCAGATGTGAGGCAGAAGGAAGGGGGAATTTAGCAGAGTCCTCCCCCCCATCTTCTGCCTCTGAGGGTTTTGTTGATGGTGGCCGGGTTGAGGAGCCGGTGGGTGCACTGGCTTGTCTCTGAAGTCCATGGAAAGACCCTGATGATCCACCATTTGCACCAGTATAACTATCACCACCGGAGTGGCGCCTAGTGAGGCATCCCCCACTACTCAAAGTCCCCACTGGGGATTGGAGACCCGGCGTAGAGGGAGAGAAGGGGTTCCCCGGCACCCGAGGGCTCCCCCCTAACCCAGGACTAGTCCGTGGCATCCTGGGTGACATAAAAGAGGTAGAGGTGGCTGTGTGTGGACTGCTGAGAGGAGAGAGACTGTTCACCTGGGGGGAACCGTTTGTCCGACAGGTGGTCAGGTAGCCTGTGGGTGTGGCTGGACTGTGTCCGAGGGAGGGGGCGTTGCTGTTGTTGGTATGAAGGCTTGAGGTTGCGAGCGGTACGGCGCCTTGATTCGAGTTGCTGCCTGGAGGGAGCGAAGGGGATCGGGAGGGAGTCTGAGCAATACTGTTGGGGGTCGGTGGAAGGCTGGGGTTAGTGTTTTCCTGAGAGCTAGCAGTGTTGTGTTCCCTGGGAGAGACAAGAACAGTAAAACCCTTTAACTTGAGGAAGCAGCACAGCATGGAACGTGCACAGCCAGACTGAAGCGTTTGAGACGAGTTCAGCTCTTCTTTTTCCCCCATAAAAGGGTAGAACTTTTGTTCATAAATAAATCCCAAGGAGGATGAACAAGAGTTGTTTTTTTTAATCCACCTTATTTAGATATTGTTTCTAGCAACAACTAAATTTTTACTATAAATTCAGGAGGCCAATTAGATTTAATACATTTGATTTTCTTTCTAAGAACTGGAAATTACAAGAAAAGAAATACAAGATTATTGCATATGGCACATTATACGCCCGCTGACAGAGTTCTATAGCAATGGCCCGGACAAGAAAAAGCCTTTGACCTTGACTTGTGACCTTGATCTTTAAGTTGGGGTGATGAAAAGACTACGTAATACACTGTTTAGTGGTGGAACAAATGTGTATCGAATTTCTTTAAATAATCTTGAGTGAATCAGAAGGACGGGGCAAGCAAAGATCTTGATGTGACTTTGACCTTGATTTGTGACCTTGAGCTTGGAGCTGGGGTGATGAAAAAGGATGAGACGCTCCATCTGGTGATGATGCATTATGTATAAAGTTTTGTAAAATTATCTTTAGTGGATCAGAAGTTATGGGCGGGGTAAGAAAGTTTAGGTAATTAGAAACGATCCCATTATGTCTGGTGTTCAACGGGCGTATAATTTATCAACGGGACAATAAATCAATAACTGTATTTACAAACACATTCTGCAAAATTGCATCAGCTTACAACTGGAAATATCTTCAATTTGTTCAGATATACAAGCAATCTTATGTTTAGAACAGCTCAGTGTTAATTCAATTGCTGACAAACCTACAGACAGGTGATAAAAACGAGCTACGCCATGGAAAACGTTTATCCTAAATTAGCTTAGCATTTAAATTCAAACACCTTCTGACAAGAATGCATTACCTGAAAATGCAACCCAGACTACAGAAACACAGAAGAGCTACAATATATCATCATTTAAGAGTTACATTTACAAAAACGTGCATCACTGTTTGTGTACGTTTGTCTGAAACAGCACCTGTCAATAGTGTGAATGCCCATAATGAAGGGCTGAACGTCAGGGTTGGGGGGGCAGCAGAACTTGCAGCGGGTCTGAGCGCTGAGCGTCGTGCCGTCACTTAGCGTGAAATGGTACAGCGGGCTGACAGCGGTGCCATGAGTCATCACTGAGGAAAAGAACAAGAAAACACCCAAAAAAAGATTAAATACACAACTGATTCGTGTTTTGTGTTTTCATCATCAGTCCTCCATTAAAGTGGGAATTCAAGAGTCACAACATTGTTTTCATGTTTATTTACATTAGTCCATATTTTGAATATTTTCTTCGAAAAAGTGTGTGCTGCCACGCATAAATCAAAACGTCAAGTTCAATTGAGCAATGGCTGCTATATCTTATGCAACATTTATATTTTTCAAAATACTTACCCTTTTTTTTAACAAGTATTTTACCAAAATGAATAGAGAGATCTCTTGAACTGCGTTAAAAACGTTTGAAATCTGCTTCAGAAAACTTGCTGTGATTCTGTGTTCTGCTACTTTCTCCATTTATGCTATAGTTCTGCAACTTTTAGCTTTTAGCTAGCCATTTGCTACTTTTAGCTTCAAGATAGATTTTTGATACCATTAGCTTGTAGCTAGCCATTTGCTACTTTTATCTTCAAGCTAGCCTTTGATACCTTTAGCTTCTAGCTAGTCTTTTGCTACTTTTATCATCAAGCTAGCCTTTGATACCTTTAGCTTCGAGCTAGCCTTTTGCTACCCCTTTCTCGCATTTTTTCCAAATCTAGGTTTTAGCACATTCTTTTAGCTTCTTTTGGCTTTTAGGTATCGGGTTGCCACCAGTACATTGTAGCTATTTTTTTTAAATATCTTTAGCTACTTGTAAGTCCTAGCTAGCCATTTGCCACTTTTAGGTTCTAGCTAACCTTTTGATACAGTTAGCTTCTAGCTAGTCTTTTGCTACCTTTAGCTTCAAGGTAAAATTTTGATAACATTAGCTTGTAGCTAGCCATTTGCTACTTTTATCTTAAAGCTAGCCTGATACCTTTAACTACTAGCTAGCCTTTTGCTACTTTTATCATCAAACTAGCCTTTGATACCTTTAGCTTCGAGCTAGCCTTTTGCTAATCTTGTCTCGCATTTTTCCAAATCTAGGTTTTAGCACATTCTTTTAGCTTCTTTTGGCTTTTAGCTATCGGTTGCTACCAGTACATTGAAGCTATTTTTAAAAAATATATCTTTAGCTACTTTTAGGTTCTAGCTAGCCATTTGACACTTTTAGTTTCGAGCTAGCCTTTTGGTACCTTTAGCTATGTTTTTATACATTTAACCTAGCTGGCCCTTTGACACTTTTACCTTGACTTTTGTTGTTTTTAGCTTTTAGTTTGCTTTTTATTACTTTTAGAAATAATATTGGTGAGCCTTTTATTAAATTTGACTTGTAGCGAGTATTTTGCTGGTTTCAGCTCGTGTTCTGCTTCTTTTAGCTTTATCATCTCTTTTCTGTTCAGTGCCTTGAGATGACTTCTGTTGTGACTTGGCGCTTTATAAATAAACTGAATTTAATTGAATTTTCAGCTTCTTCAGCACATTTGTTCAGATTTCATTCTTTGGTCTTCAGCTTCTCTGCTTCACTTTATCTTTCTGCTCTACAAACCTCAGCGTCATAGAGGCCATCTTTAAACGTAACAGCCGAAGCTGGAAGAGTTCATTTAGTTAAAGCTGTCATAATGGCACAGATACACCAAAATGAAGTGAATGTTTTCTTCTTGATGGAATGGATCCGTCGGTTCTGGCCGCTCACCGTCTTGCAGCAGCTTCTTGGCGTGGGAGGGCTCTTTGCCCTGCGGCTGAATGAACGCGTAGATGCACTTCCTGACCAAGTCCTCCCAGCCGGGCCGGCCTGCCGGGCCGGCTCGCAAAGCGCTCGTTTCTATGGAGATGATCTTCCCTGGATTAGAGGACCGCACACAGACACACAAAAGATCAGCCTGCACTGATTTCAACAACAACTGCAGTAACTTGCACAGATTCACGCCGAGATCTTTACAAAAAGTCTGTGAAAAACTTTCTAAAAATCCTCCAAAGTTTAGCCTTTTTTAATGGAATTTTTAAAGTTAAATCGGTTTTCTGCCCTCTTGGATGGAAATGTTTGCATGTCAAATATGAGCAGATCTTTAGTAGATGTGTGCAGGTAGATGAAAAATTACATCCTTCAAGGATAGACGTCCAATTTAATCATACTTTTCCAAACGGTTTGCATTCAACTCCGAGTTGAATTAAAAAAAAAAGTTCAAATTTTTAAGTCAGTTTATTAGACTTTAAGTCCATTTTTGAACCACTTTTGAGGTCAAAATGTCAGGAAATTCTCTGTAATTAATTGTTTGTACAATAGAGTGTGCATGTGAAATGTAAATTGGTTATTTTTTCCTTAAACGTTTTTCTTTTCTTGTTTTTTTCAATTTAGTTGGATTTCTAACGCCTTCTGTGAGAATGAAACACTACGGAGTGCAATAAATATTTATTTTTATACTTAAATACTGCTGTTTTAATTTAGCTTTTAGGAAATATTACACTTAAATGTTTTACTTTTTTTAAATTCGCAGACATTATTTCAATTTATAGGCACTGACAACCTGAGTGGAATATGATGCTAATGTAGACTTCAAGTTTCATCTTCTATATAGTCGTCAAGGAAAAAGACTTTTCTTGTTTAAGAATTTTTTTTTTACAAATGCTGGATATTTAATTTTTAGAAAGTTCAGTATGTAGTTTAATCTGTAAAACATCAATGTTTAACCACGCATTGTTTTTTGTTCTATACATACCCAGACCTGCAAAACACAGTTTAAATGCCGTTCTTTTCAGGACTGCCATACTGTCTTCTCAATAAAATGTGCGGATTTATGGTTTTAAAATTAGATGAACTTGCGAGATTTGAACAGCGCCGTTGGTTTTTATTATTTCATGAAAGCATCATCAAATGTCAGATTATGATCGCACACATGATGATGGATTTTCAACATGACCTGTTGCCATTTTAGACATTTTCTATCCATATTTCAGAGTTCATCCGTGCAAAGATAAAATATCAGTCATTTCTGGACTGTATGAAAAAACCCTGAACGTGTTTATTTTACCTGTGGGGTCCTGCTTCGTAATAAAGGACTCTGTGCTGACAGGCTGAGCGCGAGGCATCCGACAGGCGATGCAGATCAAGCAGCTCTGCAGGTCTATAAAAATTTAAAAAAATAAATAAATCATGACAAATATTTTACCTGTGGGGGGGGAAGGGCTACAAAAATACAGTTCTAAATATAATATAAGTTGTTTACTTAACATTAAGGATGAATAGATGTGAGTAATCCGTGTTCAGCACATAATTAACACTGACATTCATGACTCTCAGCTACTACCACAACATATTTCTCTACGTTCCACTTTTGTTTTATCACTTTTTGCGACGGCCATCTTGAATCAGGTTGACTCCAAATATGAATGAGCTTTAGAAGATTACTTGCTTCACATCTGCCCAGTGGTTCCTGAGACATTTAGCTAACAGACAGACAGGTTAGACACCATCAATTAGTGACAAAGATTTAGACGTACTCAAAGAACCGTAATGTCCGGACTATAAAACGTTACTTTTTCACACGCCGTGGTTTATACAACGCTGCAGCGAATTAATGGATTTTTTTTTTTTTTTTGACGGGCTAACGAGCTTCCTGCCACCAAAACATTTAGCTTCATCGAACCTGGGGGCTCACAGAGCTGCCCAATACATGTCGCTTTGGGGGTTTGGTCCTCGTGACTCGATGAGACTACACTTGTATAAATAACGGTTAAAAAATAAATCTGACCAAAAAAAATTACAGAACCCTCCTCCCCTCCCTGCAGGAGCATCCCCCCCTTCTTGTACACAGCGAAGTATTTGTAGCCACTTGAAATAAGTGCGAATTGTAAATCAAAGCAAATCGTAAATTTTCCCTCGCCACGAAAGTGACATTAAGAGCGACAATGAAAGAGGCCGGGGACGTGTGATGAAGTTTTTCTGAGTCTGTTCAATCCTGACACTGAAGAAGACGACTTTAGTGGTTTTAGTGCGCAGGAGGAAGATGAAGATGGTGTTCAGTGACGTTTCCTGGTAGGCTACTGTATTTATTCATTTATTTAACCAAACGTGTTACAGGCACCGTTCAGAAAAAAACATTTACTGTTCATATTTGTGCACGTTACCGGTACATATTTATTTAAAAGTTTCAAACTATGTCTGTGTAAATATCTCATGTTACAACGTGGACACCTGCGGCTTATAAACAAGTGTGGCCTATATATTTATTTATTTTTAATTTAGTGGGCGTGGCTTATATTCAGGTGCGCTCAATAGTCTAGAAATTACGGTATGTTGGAAGTGCTCCTCCTAGAACAAATGTTAATGAGTTTTAGATGAACATTCAATGATTACTGCCGAGTTTCATTAAAATATGTCCAAGGGTTCATGAGATATTTTGCTAACAGACACATTGTTGACCAGTGGTGGACAAAGTACTCAATTCTAGTATTTAAGTAAAAGTACTCACGGTCAAATCTTACTCAACTACACGTTGCTCAGTGAAAAGTTTACGCAATTTAAAGTACTGAAGTATTTACTTTTGAAAATACTTAAGTATTCAAAAGTGCATGCATTTAAAAAACACTCAAGTATTTAAAAGTACTAATTATATTTTCCAAACATGAGTACATTGCTGTATTGTTTTGAGTGATTTTACAGAATCTTAACTCTATGAAACCACCTGATGATGTATTGACATGTAGAACCACTCCAACACCACATGCCTCAATAAAACCTGTAAACTACAAAATAATATATTCTCTGCATTTTACATGTTTGTGGAAAATCATGGAAATCCCAACAGATGACGCACATTTAGTCTTTTCCTCAGCTTCAGTATTCATACACCGCACTGTCTGTCTGTAAAAGTGCATGTATTAACGGCAACGCTGATAACTGAAAGTACTGCAATACTTAAAGAAGCTTACAAAACAATGAACGTTCTGCACAGATGACTCTGGCATAAAACCTGAATCAACAAGTGGCCAGCTGCATTTAAGGAAAGGAAAACAGCAACAGTGGATTACAAAGCTGAGCCAAAAGGAACAAGAAGCTTCTATAGAAACGCAGTGGAGAGAAAGTCACAAGTTCCCAAAAACACAAACACTCCAGTAAAGATATTCAGAAAATGTATTTAAGTACAGTACTCAAGCAAATGTACTTTGTTACCGTCCACCACTGCTGTTGACGTCAGTAGGTAATGGCCAAGTCTTAAAAACGGACTCGTCAGCGTGTTGTTAATGATTCTTAGCCACCAACACCAAAAATGATCTCAGTATCTGTCAGATTTAATCAGTTATAGTCCTCTTTGTTTGAAAAGTCCTTTAACAAACGCATACAGATTCAGTGGGGAAAAAAAATTAAATTCTATGAACTCTGGGAGTGGACGAGAACTCGAGAATCTCAAATCCATCCTTTACTTCACCCACCGTAAAAATAATAGAAGCTGAGGTTTTAATCCTAAATTCAAAATGTATGTTTTAAGACGGTTTCTTTAGCTGTTCCCTCTTCAGGGGTCGCCATATTAACCAAGTAAAGAAAAAGCAAACTGAATTCACGGACAGGAAGGAAGAGCAACAACCCACAAGGCCAGCTCTTATCAAAATGACTTAAAGCCCACTGAGTTAAAGAGACAAAAATCTGCAATGCAGAAACTACAAAACACTATTTATCAAGGCCGCTGCACCAAAGGAGTTCAAAATATTTGATATGTCCTCCAAAAATCTGCTGATGAGGCAAGAGAGAATGAAAAGCTGTGAAAGGGTAATATCTAAACGTTAATACTAGTTTAAAAATTTTCAATCACGGAAACGCAAAGGAATTTGAGCGAAAAAATAAATAACGTAACGGGAAAAAAATCATAAATGTTTTATTTTTTTGTGCACTGAAACAAATATTTTTCTAAATTGGATTAATTCCTGAGAAACAGACAAGAAACTGGGAAAAAACAAAAGAGTTATGGCAGGATCTGAAAACATTTATTTATTTAAGTTTTAGAGAGAGGCCCAAGGTGGACTTTGTTATTTTAACACTGAAAAATATTTAAAAATATTATATTTACTCAGCACAAAAACATATTCAGAGAGTGACACGGAAATGAGAACAACTAAAACAAAGGAATGCTCTCAAAAACTATTAAAAACATCTAGACGAGCTTCGTTTTTAGGAGAAAATAAGAAATAAATGTGGAGGTTTTAGCTCCAGGTTCTTGTTAAGTTTAGCAAAACGTAATAAGATAATTTGGACAAAAAAAAAAAACTTTGATTATTAATAAAAAAGTGCCATGAATGTCCGAATCAGGGGTTCAAAATGTTCTGAACGAGAGCCGTGCGCATATTTTATATCTAGATGTTATTTTAAATAATTTACAAAGGTAAGTGGTGAAACAATCTCTTCACATTTACCATCAGCTACGGTTGTTTGAAAAGTTCATTCTAGTGGAAAATTCCCTCCAAAACATTAACGTTCTGATTAAAATCGATACTTTGGCAGCACATACATATGTAGATAAAAGTATTCTAGAACTGGTTGAAGGAATGGCCTGCAGGTTGTGTTCCGACTACACGTACCGTCCCCCTCCTCCTGCAGGGCCCGCGGCTGGGACACGGTGAAACACTGCATGATCTCATACTGCTGCCGGGCCTCCATGTTCTCCGAGTCCACCTCGTCCGGCGGCCTCTTCAACATGCGACAGTTAAAGGTGTGGCTGTTCCTGCAACCAGGCTCCTGTGGCCATGGGACGCCGTTTACTAGACAAACAGAGACACGGAGACGTGAGGACGGACGTCAAAGACAACCTGTGTCCTCCTGCTGGTTCACCGTTAAAATGGTTGAAATGACTTTGAAAGGTTTCGCAGATTTATATTAAAAGTTAAACACTTCAGCCACAGTTGGTTGATTTAATATGAAGCTAATTAATTTAAAATAAAAAGACATACAAGTTACAAAAGAAAGACAATGATTGTGTGGATCAGTTAATTAACTTTAATATAAATATTTAAAAACTGATTCATCTTTTGTGAACTAGTTTTAAAAATGGTTTTCTTTAATTAAAAAAGTTTTATGAACTTTTTTTTTTTTTGCCACATACACAAACACTAATAAGAAACATTAGCTAAGTATATTATTTTGTCAGTTTGCTCATCCATCATACATCCATCCATGCAGCCATCCAAATATTCACCCATCCAACCATTAATTTGTCCATCCATCCATTTGTCCAACCATCAATTTGTCCATTTATCCATTCATGCATTTGTCCATCCGTCGAACCATTTGTCCATCCATTCATCCACCCACCCACCCAGCCATCCATCCATGCATCCATCTAAATATTCACCCATCCAACCATTAATTTGTCCATCCATCCATCCATCCATTTGTCCAACCATCAATTTGTCCATTTATCCATTCATGCATTTGTCCATCCGTCCATCCATCCACCCACCCACCCAAACAGCCATCCATCCATCCATTTGTCCATCCATTTGTCCATCTGTCCATCCATCCCTTTGCCCATCTGTCCATCCATCCATCCACCCACCCACCCATTCAAATAGCCATCCATTTGTCCATCCATTGAGCCATCCATTTGCCCATCTGTCCATCCATCCATCCACCCACCCACCCATCCAAATAGCCATCCATCCATCCATTTGTCCATCCATTGAGCCATCCATCCACCCACCCACCCACCCATCCAAATAGCCATCCATCCATACATTTATTCAAATATCCATCCAACAATCCATTTGTCCATCCATCTCTTTGCCCATCTGTCCATCCATCCAACAATCCATTTGTCCATCTGTTGATCCATCCATCCGTCCATCCATCCATACATTTATTTAAATATCTATCTATCCATCTATCCATCCATCCATCCATCCATCCATCCATCCATCCATC